AATTTAACTGCTTGCAGCTGAATTCTGCCAGTAGCCATAGACGTGTAAATGAATGAACATGACTGTTTCAATAAAACTTTATTTACAGTACAAGTAGCAGACCAGATTTGGCCTATGGGCCTCAGTTTACCAACCCCTGCTCCAGATTACTGTCCACAAGCCCTATTTTGGTTATTAAGATATTTGTAGTCATTTCTGCCACTTTGTTTCATACTATCTATTTCTTCAATATTTGTATACTTTCATCTTATCTTCTTTTTGACTTTTTTGTTTGCTTTTTTCTATTTTTTCTATTTTTTCTTGTTTAGAAACAAAATTCTTTCTCTTTTTTTTTACTGATTATCCTAGAAATTTAAACATATATTAATGTAACAAAGTCTAATGATCATCAGCCTAAATAATACAAGCACCTTAGAACTACTTAATTCTCTCACTTATATGGTAATCTCTTCCAGCATTTTCGTTCTACCTTGATTTCTTTTAACCAACAAATTGGGCATTATTTTGATAGTTTTATATAGTCAATATTTGCTTGACTTGCTCACGCTTAGCATTTTCTTTGCTCACAGTTTCTTCTTGCAGCTCATATCTTCCTTTTGGACTTTATCCTATTTGGATCTTTCTCTAGTGAAGGTCTGTTGATGAGAAAGACTCTGTATTTTATGTCTGAAAGTGTTTTTATTCATACTCATTCTTGAAAATTAATTTTGCTCATATAGGATTCTAAGTAGGCTGGTATTTTCTTTCAGTACTTAAAGATATTATGCTACTGTCTGCTAGCATCCATGGGTTAAGAAATAAGCTGTCAGAATAATGCAACTTCTTTGTAGATAATCTGTATTTTCTCTGCCACTCTCTGTTCAAATCCTGTTTCTCCCTCATGCTCTCTGTTATCTCCTTCTGGAACTCTAGACGCGTTTTGTACCTTCTCACTCTATTCTCTCTAACTCTTCATCTCCTTTTCATATTTTGCACTTTTTGCTCTCTGATCTGCATTCTATGTAATTTCTTCAGCTCCATCTTCCAGTTCACAAGTTCCTTCTTCATTTGTATCTAATTTGCTATGTAATTCATCAACTAAATTTCTAATTTTAATCATTAATTTTCTGTGTCTAGAAAAATGGGCAAAACAAAGATGTGTTTCTTTTTCTAATCTGCCTGGTTAATTATGGTATTCTCTTATTTCTTATGCTTTCCATACTTTCTTTTATTTCTTTAAGTATATCAAATATATTTATTTTGTACACTCTGCTGATCATTCCAATATCTACAACCTTTGCTGGTTATATTCTGCAGTTTGGTGTTTCTACCATTTTCACTCATGGTAGCTTGGCTTCTCTTATATTTGGTGACTTTTTAATTGGGATCACAGGTTTCTTGGAGTTCTATTTGTGTGATTTCATTGAGATTTGGCTTTTTAAAGTGCAATACTCAATGGAAAATATTTTTGCTTCAGCCAGGTTCCTGGATACACTACCAACCCAGGACTATTTCAGATGAATTTTTTGAGTTGGGTTATTTTTTAAGCTAATTAGGTAGTATGAATTCTTTTCACAAGCTCTTGTGTATGAGGCTTGGTGGTTAGCAATTCTCAGAGAAACTTTGTCTCCCCAACCTGCCCTGCCATAGAACCAAGGCCAAGACGGCACATATCTTCATCAATTCTTTATCAATTCTCTCCTCTCAGAAGGATTTTCCTAGGTCATCAGCTGGTGTCACCCCTCAGGAGCCTCAGTCGTCTGTGTGTAATGGGAAAATTCAGTTCCATTCCACCCTCTTCTGGCCCAAATTTTGTCTCTGTCTATACTCTCAGGGCCTGTAAAGACCCACACTGTGGGCAGCCTGGGACTAGGAAAATGGCCCCACAGAAAACACCAGGTTCTTCCCTCTCTTAACGAGGAGAATTTTTCCCTTCTTATTCTGATCTTCAGGGATTTCCCTTAGTTCCCCACTAGATCAGAATGCATTAAGCAAAGATTTTTCTTCCATGTTTCATCCAGCATTTTAGGTGTATAGACCTGGGAGAAATTGCCCTTCACATGCAGTGTGCCATATTGCTGAAAAGCAGCATTTTGAACTTAGTTTTTAATAAGTAAAATTATATGTTTGTCTGATCTGTATGCCCCCAGCAAGCAATTCTAAACCATTGCTACAAAGTTAAATGCTCCTGGGCCTTAAAAAGAAGAACTTGGAAGGGCCAGCCTAGTAGCATAGTGGTTAAGTTTGGTGCACTCTGCTTTGCCAGCCCAGGGTTCACGGGTTTGGATCCCAGGCACAGACCTACACCACTCATCAGCCATGCTGTGGCAGCATCCCACATATAAAATAAAAGAAGATTGGCACAGATTTTAGCTCACGGGGAATCTTCCTCAAGCAAAAAGAGGATTGACAAGAGGTGTTAGCTCAGGGCCAATCTGCCTCACCAAAAAAAAAAAAAAGAAGAAGAAGGAAAAACAAAAGCTTGGAACATACAGTTGGGTATGTACATATGGTATTTGCTATGTATCACTGAGGGTTAGGACCACAGGTGAACGTGAGCCAATTGGAAAACACGTACTTAAGATACAAACCTACTTACTAAATCTTGCAGCGGGTCTCATTAAGCACAGCTTTATCACCACGCTCTCAGCCATGAGTGGTCCTTACGTTGTCCCAGAGCCAAATGAAGTTCTCAGTGACCTGTGGTTGCTTCTTAGCTGTTAAACTGACTCTGCTTTATTCTAACAAAGCATGCACAAATCGCATGGTACCCTCTGAGTTCTGAAGGACGTTTCCTTTGTGAATGAGATAGGTAAGTGACAGAAAGAAATTGGTTTCACCCCAGTGACCACCATAAGGGATGCATGCCGTGTGCCCCTCCTGATTCACAGGGTCCTATTCCAGATGACTGTCAAGTTGTTACCTTCATTGGTTGCACCATTCATTCATTCGCTCACTCAGCTAAAATGTACTGAGTGCCTGCTAGGTCCCAGGCACTATGCCAGACTCTGAAGATACAAGGAGGAAGCAAATATGATCTTGGCTGTGGACGAATTCACTTTCTGTTGGAAACAACAGAAATGTCAATTCCAATTACTATAAAAACCATAAAATGCTGCAACTTAGGTATAAACACAGTTATTTACCCCACAATACTTCATTCTTAAAGACTGAAAAACTTGAACATTTCAAGAATATTTAGAATCTGATGATGAAATGATAAAAGTTGGATTCATATTTGGGGTGAAGGGTTCCACTCACCAGATCCCACGTCTTATCTAGGTCCCTCACTGCGCTGTGGAATTGGAGGATGACAGCTTGCTGAGGTAGCAGTTTCTGAGCATAGGCATCCCCATACCTCTTATTTTTACTCTCACCATCTAGAAAACCTGCTAACTGGCAATGGTGCTGGGCAGAGTTTGATTCTCAAAGCACAGTGCTGTGGACCGCACAGTGAGCATCTCTGGTTTGGGTCTCCATCCTTCAGGTTCCCCAAACTTTTGCATTTGATTGGCATGGATGCTACTATATATGAGGTGAGCATCCTTGAACCTGGCACTTGACTTTTTTACTACTCAGAGGTCTTGTTTGTGAAATAAGCTTGACATCTGCCCAACTGATTTCTCTGGGTGATTGTGAAGATCAACTGAAATTTGGAAATCAAAGTGTGAAAAATAATATGTTATAAATTTGTAACGTATTATCAGTATTATTACTAGAGTAATATCAGAGTATTAGAGCATTTCATGTTATTTGATTTCTTCACTAATCTATATTTCAAGTTATTTTCAGTAGTTTCTTAACCTAAAAGTAGCTCTGAGAATGTTTTAAAAGAGTCGCTACAAGGTAATAGAATGACTTGCATGTTCGTATTAATTTTAAAGCATAAAAGAAAATATTGTTAAATACTGGAGAGGAAGAGATGGAGGGTTCTGTTTGGATTAATGTTTTGAAATGTTTTCGAGACCACAAAGTTATTGGACTGAATCCAAAAATGTACCAAAATCCTTTTTCTGCACGTGTCATTCAATATTGACGTCAGTGGAGGAGGCTGAGGTGCCTTAACTATTAGACAGGTGCAGAATGAATACCTGCAGTGGCTCCTTTGAAATCTCGCCTCCTTTTCATGGTAAGAGTCAGGGGCAATTTAGTTCTCTGATGTGAATAATATTAGCAAACGTTTTTGAGAGCTTGCCGTGTTATAGACCCTGAGGTAATTCATATTATCACTCAACAATATGTGTCAGATATTCGCTCTGAGTCTTTAAGGAAATTAACTCACTTAATCGTCAATGGACCCGATGCATTAGGCATTTTTTATTTCCATCTAAGAGATGAGGACTTTCTGAAAGGTTAAGGGATGTTTCCGAAGTCACCCACCTGGGATTTGAACCCAGGCAGCTGACTCCTGGGCCCACAGTCTTAGTCTCTGACCATTCCCAACTCCCACTGCCTTCTTCTCTGTCACACCGACTTGATTTCTTTGCTCCTGCTCCTGTCCCTTCTGTGACATTTGGAGTTTCCCATTTTCCAGGAGTAAGAATGAAAGATAACAAGATGTAGAAAAACGTTTAAAAGTAAAGATTTTGGAGTCACACAGACTCTCTCACTTATCAGCTTTGAACAATTGTTTAACTCCACTCCTCCACGTAAAGTAAGAACTAGTATTCTGACCTAATGAAGCATCTAACAAGTGTTTAAGAGCATTTATCACCTTGACTGCATATTACGTGCCTGATAGATATTTACTACACTCATTCAAAATAACAAAAGAGAGGACCTCACACTGTAAAACTGAGCAGTCTTTTCTTAGCTTGTGAGCATAGGCCACATGCCAAGACAACCACGTTCCATGCGTGTTCAACCCTGTCTGCCACTTTTCAAGTGAATTTATGTCTGAGCTTCTTGCCTGAAGGCACTTCCATCTCTAAGAATTTCTGAAACAAGTGTTTCAAGGAACCAACACTTCAATCCCAGTATAAAGATCTGAATTTCACCTCCTTTTGTCTTTATCGACCCAGGCCTACAGAGTTGATGAGAGGGCGGCAGAGCAAGCCCGGTGGGAGGAAGCCTCCAAAGAAACAATCAAGAAAACCACTAAGCCCTGTCCTCGTTGCCACGTGCCAGTTGAAAAGAATGGTGAGTCTGGGCTGCCCAGAAAGTGGGCATTTGATGAGCTCTTCTTGGAGAGCGTTGGGTACGTGGTTATAACAGTCAGGAACTCTACAAGGGTTTTATAACAGGGCAGATGAGCACAGAGACTTTGAAGCCATCTGGCCAGAGTTTGAATCTCCTCTCTCATGTCAAGTTTCTTAACCTCCTAAGCCACGTGTCCTCATCTGTCAAACAGAGATGATGAAAGAAGCTGCCTCTCAATAATAGAGTCATACGACGTGATGGATGACAAATGGTTAGCCCAGAGCCTGGCATAGAGAAAGCACTGAATAAACACCAATTGTCCTTATTACGATTTGTTATTAAGAGTATGAGACACTTTGTGTGTGATAAATTGTTCACTACTCTAACAGCAACAACAGCAAAGATGCCAGAGAAACTCCCCAGTCCAATGTTTCCCAACTTGTGCTCCATGGTACTCTGGTGTCCATGGGTACTCAGTGGGGAAAGGAGGAGATCACCACATCCAGTAAGTTTGCCAAGTCATTCCTACTCTATCCCTCTCTTGGATAACAACAACCACCAAAACAACTCACTTGTAGTGAGCGTTTACTGTATGCCTGTTCTAAGTTCTCTGTAAGCATCAGATTGTTTAACCTTCACAGAAACCACATGAGGAAGCCACTATTATTATCTCCATTCACAATATGCATTAGCCAATGAAAGCATTTGAGAATTCCTTTTGCAGAGAAATTTGTTTAATTTTTTTTAACCAGTTGCTTCCCAAGTTTTTAGGGCCACAAAATTCTTTTTTTTCCTATCACAGTGATTCACATCCCTTTGAACCCTGGAACACATTTTGGGCTTTGGTTGCTCCATCTCTGCTGTGAGACAGTTAGTGCCTTATATCGCTATGACCCCTGGCTCCTTCATTAAAATATCTCTGCCGGAATGTGTTTTCGAATAGGAGTTTTTCTGTGGCCTTCCGGCAACTGCTCTCTAAATTTTAAGAATGTGAAATGACAACTTGGAGATACCTCTGGATTAAATGACATTAACTACAGTCAAAGTCTGTCAGGAGCCCACATATATGTCCCACTTTGCCCATTTTACAGTCTTAGAAACACCAGCATCCATGTTCAGATAGTTTTCCCTAATGATACCGTAAACCCAGGGCAGCATCTCATGGGAAGGCTCAGTCCCCCTCCTTACACATGCGGTCACATCTACTCCTCATAAGTGCTGGGGGGCCACCATGGCTTTGAGGAGACTTGTGAGACCTCTTAAGCAGAAGTTCTCCCCTCCCAGCTGCTGCCTTAATAGACAAGTGGCCCATGTAATATGGTGAAGGACATTGAGAGGGGGACCAGCTGGGCTCCATGCTTGTGGCTATGGATTTTCATGCCCCTCATTGACCTTCCCCTGTGTTCATCACGCTGTCTGTCAGCCATCATTCTGTGTCCCTCCCTGGCTCTGCAGTGTTGTTTGAAGTCAAACCCTAGTCTCTATTTAGAGTATTCCTTTGGGCTGCCCCATTCATGGTGACTCTGATAGCTCACAGCAAGCAGCGGGTGACCCACTGCCATCCATCTTGGACATGTCAATCAGCTTAAAGCCATCACAGCCCAGTACCCAGAGTCCTTTCTAAATGGGAAACATATATGCAAGTGTGAGGTAGAGTCAGCAGCATAAAATGAAGCACCAGGGACAGCTCCTCCCACGTCCTCTTCATTGAGCATTGGCTACACCTGGTGTGTAGGCTGCTAAGAGCTGGCTTGCTGTGGAGTGAAACCCGGCAGTCCCATGATGGGCACTCCAGTCTCTCTTTCCTCAGACATGTCCTTTAGAAAGTCTTCCTTAATACAAACAAGACAGTGCTGACGCATCCCAGAGCAGCAGGAACGAGCCAAGTGCCTAGTTCTGAATCAATGGTCTCCCAGGAAAAAAAAAAATTTACTCCATGAGTCATTGTTATTCCTTTGCATGCTGGAACACTCCTGGCAAATGCAGTGCGTTGGCATGCACCTCTAAAAAGAAGACATCAATGGAATCAGAGGAAAGAATTTTTCTAGTCCTTACCGATTGAGCAGTGTTGTAGGGGCAATGGAAGCGAAAGTTCAAAGCTCTTCCCAGAGAGGACATGCAGTGTTGATGAACATGGGCCATGGCTCCATTTCACAAGTATTTAAAGAACACCAATTAAATAGGAAGAGGCCATGTTGCTGTTATCAAAGATCAGGAAACTTATCTATCTCCTGGGCCTGGGAGAGAACCTCACAAAAAAATGTTTGATGATTTAAAAAGTAGAGAGAAAAGGCGATAGACACCTACACAGATATTTTTATAACCTATGATAAGCAAGCTAGAAGGGCACAAAGACCTGGGGGCTAAGAGCTGGTTTCCTGGAAGAGATGATACCTGAGCCGAGAGCTGAAGGATCAGTACACACGGGCCAGTCAAGGAGGTGGGAGAGGAGCCTTCTAGGCAGACAACAGGTGTGAAGGCACCGAGTGTAAACAGGAAACACCCGTGTGGGCAGGAAGCCCAGTTCTTTGGAGTTCCTCGATGACGCATGGCAGGAGCGTATGCTGAATAGGGTAGGATAGAGAAGGAAGGGCCCGGAATGAGGTGAAGGGCTTGGACTTGACTCCAGAAGACAGGGAGCCATTCCAGGCTGTGAAGCCGGGAAATGATTCGGTCAGATCTGCCTTTTGAGTGAGACCACACTGGCAGCCGTGGCCCACGGCATCGAAGAAGTCCACTGATTCATGACTATAGAAATGTTCCTAATCTCGTTACTTCTTTGAAACGTTGTGATGTACTATAAATAGAAAGCACTAATTTTTCACCTATAAATTTTTACCCTGGGAACTGAAAAGCTGGTACATTAAGCTTATTAATGAGAGTCTAAACTGTTAAAATGTGCAAGGGAAACAAATGTAGGCCCTGTTAGCAGGAACAGCTGGCTTCCTTACCTGGTGCTCAACCTAAATTCGTGGTCTCCTGCATATTCAGCTGAATCCCAGAAAAGTTGTTCTTGCTTCAGCAAAGCTGTGGTGATAATGGGAATTATTTCCATTGTCAACACAGGCTAAACCTTGGCACTTCTCTTATAATCCCCTCCAATCTCCAGAAGTTTCTTCCATCACTTCCACTTCACAGATGAGATTCTGGGTCCATTCTCTGATCAGTAGGTGTCTGTTGCCAGTTAAATTTGCCTTCAGGTTGTTGAAGAACTTCTACTCTCTCGTTAAATTGGGAAGACAAGTTGCCAGCCGGGCCATAGTGTTGACTGGGCACAGGCTGGCCTTTTCATGGCGTGAGCATCAGTCAGCAGACAGAATTCTCTAAAAGAGAAGCTGTATTTTCTTCATTTAAATATCCACAAATTAGTGTAAAGTTGTCAGCAGCTTCTTGCTCACATTTGCTCTTAAGCTGGAGAAGCCTTAGCGTTAGAGTCCCTGCTGCCTCTCCATATGATGGGCTCCAGCAATCACTTTGCGTCTCTCAAGCACCAAGAGGGAAAGAAAGTTAATAACGTGAATATCGTCTCTTCCTATTTCATTTCTTCTTATTCTGTTGTGCCATTGTGATTCAAGATTCCATAATAAAATCTTATTTGTGACGCTCATATTCCACATCCATTCAGATTCTGGTATAATAGGAAAACATTCTCAACCTTTCATTTAGCATCACTTTACTATTTCATTGAATTTGAATGTATTGCTTAAGAATTGTCTATGATATTCCAGAGAAACTTAAGTGATTATACAGTATTGCCTTATTTTGGTATGTTATTTGCATCATAAGTGTACAATAATTAGATAAGTGTTGAAAATAAAGTCCTGTAATTGTGTACTCCTAAATGGGAAATATTAAGATAAAAGTGTCATAAGTGAGTTTTTCCCTTTGTTTTCCACATATTTGTATTTTTTTTCCTGAGTAAGATCCACCCTGAGCTAACACCTGTTTCCAATCTTCCTCTATTTTTGCATGTGAGCCACCGTCACAGCATGGCCACTGATAGACAAGTGGTGTAGGTCCACACCCAGGAACTGAACCTGGGCCACCAAAGTGGAATGCCCCAAACTTAACCTTTAGGCCACCAGGGCTGGCCCCACATATTTGTAATTTTTTAATGATCTCTCAAACAAACCAGATAAAAGCAGAAAAGTATGGAATGTTAAATACCCTTAAATTACCCTAAAACAAATGCGTTTAGTTACATATTCATAAATATTTTAAATTAGCGCAAATTCTCTTGCTGGGTTTCTAATAGTAAAAATGAGACAGTGCTAAAGCAATCACTTGGAAAATTTGGCAAGAAAAAATTACTTAACCGTGTAATTGGTAATAATGGAGCACATTCAACACAATGTAGGATTCAAGCAAAGAAGCTACTTTTGCCTGGATTACCCGGCAAATGCGGTCAGAAACGATTCTTGACACATAACTTCATACAAACGACTCCCTCTTCACTTCACGGCAGACTTGGTGTCTGAGCCCCAGAAGCAAATAAAGAATATGTTCAACAAATGGGGGAGGTGTGGAATCCCAAAATAAGTCCCCAGATAAGGGACTTTACGTCTCATGCTGAACAGGCCCTGTTCTGTGAAAGAGAGAACATTGGAAGCACACAGATCATAGGTAAATCTCAGGCTTCATCATTTAAATGACCTTGAGAGAAATCTATACCCGAGTAATAATCTTATCTGACAAGATAAGAGTAAATGCTTTTGAGGAGTAAATGAGAACCTATGTAGAGTCCCCACCATCATTCACTGGTTTCTTTCTGTCCTTCTCATCTTAAATGAAATCGTGAATAGCATAAAGGGAGGTGTTCCCAATTTAATATTTTTAAGACAGCTATCCCGACTCCTCTTTTGTGAATTTTTCCACGTCAAGTAACACTAAAGAAACGATAAAAATGCTCATAGTTTATATTTACATTATTATGTATTATATGTTAAATCATTAAGCATATTAATATATATTTTAAATAATCAATTTAATATATATTTACATAAGGAATTGACCCCTATCTGTGCAACACAAAGCATTTGTCTCTAAATCCCATTTCAAGAGAAGTAAATAAACACTAATTTACGAATAAAATTTGTCCTCAGTGGGGCAGCCAGCCAGTGGCATAGTGGTTAAGTTCACATGCTCCACTTTGGCAGCCCGGGGTTCACAGTTTCAGATCCCGGGCGTGGGCCTATACACCACTCATCAAGCCATGCTGTGGCAGCGTCCCATGTACAAAATAGAGAAAGATGGGCACAGATGTTGGTTCAGGGACAATCTTCATCAAGCAAAAAGAAGATTCGCAACAGATGTTAGCTCGGGGCCAATCTTCCTCACCAAAAAAAAATAAACTAAAATTTATCCTCAGTGAAAGTGGCATGCTCCATTCATTTCGTAATGACTGTCATAACTTTAGAACTTCCTGGTGTGCGCCCTGATTTGTTTTCCTCGGTTCAGATTCTACCGCTGGATTGCTTGTGATGATTCCTTTAGAAAGTCATTTCTTGAACACCGTGTTGGTGTGGGAACGAGTGTTTTCCAGGAGTTTACCTGTGTCCTCCGTCTGCCCACAGGAGGATGCATGCACATGAAGTGCCCGCAGTCCCAGTGCCAGCTCGAGTGGTGCTGGAACTGTGGCTGCGAGTGGAACCGCGCCTGCATGGGGGACCACTGGTTCGACGTGTAACCGGAGCAGCTGCAACACGGCAGGGCTCAGCCGCCATCCTGCCTGGAAACACACAAAGTGTCCTACTGTCATGTGCCACTTTTGCTTTCTACGCGCACACACACACACACACACTTCAAGTTCTTTACAAAATCACCAAAACAAAGTTACAAGAGATGCTCCTAGCATCCCTCTCATTGTGCCCATTAAAAACAGCAAAGCTAAGGGTGAGACCACCATCAGTATTCGCAAGCCTCAGCAATACACAAATACCAGAACACAGATCAAATTGCACTTCCATCGTTTGTATCGGTTGTCATTCTTGAGTGAATTCAAGTCAAGTTGGCTAAGTATGTAGAGAGCGATTTCTCAGGTTTAATTTCTGCATTTTGCCTTTAGCAAATATTGGGAAAAAGCCATTTGTGAGGTGAGAAATCATTTCGAGGGACTATTGTCAGCGGTTCTCTGTAAGATGGCCTGTTAATGGATTCTCAGAACTGTATTCACTGCTTTAAGAACAATGCTCTTATTTAAATTTTCAGAGAACATCTATTCCCAAAGAACTGCAGACAATAGTCAAAACTATGTGTTTATCCCCAAGAATTCTACCTTTCTTTATTGCATGGATGAAATATCAACTTCACACAAATCGGCTTGTCAACTAAGTGAGAAAATATGAAAGTTAGTTTGATGTTGAATGTTTAAACTATAGGGAAGAAATCAAAACTTAATGCTCTTTCATTCCATTTAATTACTTGCAACTTTAGAAAGATGATTTTCTAAAAATATTGCAAAATCTATCATTTGATTTTAAACATTCATTTTGCAGCTTTGAGAATAAGCTAATACATTTGGCTTCACTGTAAATTTAATGGATAAGGTGCCTATAAAGACATATTTAGAAATGATTTCGTAATGATTCTCAATGTTAACAAAAGTGCAGCTCACTAAAGCAGAATGTCTAAAGAAGGCGCATTTCCAGGACTATCTCAGGAGGTAGCCTGACTCTCTATCAGGAGGGTTTATGCTCTTTCTGCTTACCCACTCTGTTCCTCCAATCTGCAAGTCCCGGGGTTTCTGCCCACCCAGTGGCTTACTCCAATGGAAAGTTCTTTTCTCTAAGATGGTAAATTCACACTCAAATATTAACATGGACTGAACTGGAGTGTTGACCAGATTTTCATCTTTTTTTTATTTTGAGGCATTCACAACACCTCAAAAAGAGATGTATTCACACTTAGATGCAACAAACCTCACTTTCGGCAGCACGGTATGCAGGTGACAAAGGGTAAACCGCTGTCTTTTGTTCTCATCATCTGTCTTCTCAGGAAAACTGTGACCATAACTAAGGGCACAGTGAGTTTCACTAGCACATGGGATCCCTTTTGGATTTAGGGACCCTGGAAATTTTGAAATCGGTAGCAGGGCTTCTCTTTGTAGATGGAGCACCAGAAATCCTTGCTGGGAGGAGAGAGGGAATGACCCCAGAAAATTTCCCAGAGGCATCTGTCCCTGGTTCCCTAACCTTCCATCCAGGGACAGTCCTACCCTCAGGGGCTCTGCGCCTGGGACAAGACGAGGATGTGGCAGCCACATCAACATTAACAGCCTCATTTGGCTTCACTTTGTCAAAAAATTCAACCTCCCCAACATGGCCCCAAGGCTGCCCGACTCATGTCAGGAAGCCTAAAGATTATTTAGAGATAATGGAGAACCAATGTCTGTGAGTGTGAGAAGAAGGAAGGTCAACAGGCACGAGCCCGCACATCCCAACGGCTGGTGTCAGTGCTCAGTCTGGAACCCACCCAGGGCCTGCCCGTATGTTACTGACAATCCCAGTAAGTAGCACCTCCTTGCACTGACCCGACAGGACAAATGAAGTGGCACCCTCCGTCATGTGGAGCACCCAGCATTTTATGTCTTCCAAAGCTTTTGGTTTTAATGATGCTGCCATTGTTGCCTCTTCCAAATCTGCATGGTTTGTTGGGTGTGGATGCCTGAACAAGGTTTGCTCCCATGTGTTCAGGCACCGTAGAAATCCCTAGGTACTCCGTTCCTTCCCTCATGGGTGTCTTTATGTATTTTTCTTTTCAGAATAGAATACTGATTCTTAAAACAAGTTAAAGAAAAAATAGCCACTATAAATGAATGTGAATCACAAACCACTATAACGTGTTTGAGCTTGAATGATGTAACAAAATGTGAATACATCCGAAGAATAGAAATAAAGTCTTTGCAGAAGAATCTCTATTTTTCTCTGAAATGTGTAAAGAAATACTTGACTAAGATTGTACTCAAATTGTCAATAAAAGCATCAAAATAGCTTTTGAGTCCATCTTTGAAGCTATATTTTCAATCAATGCTGAAGGGGTGGGAGGGAAGCACAGGACACATGGCTCGTGGCCTGGAGAGGCAATGGCCATTTTGATCTCTGTTCCCAGCCCTAGATTAACTCTGGTCCTTTTTCTTTGTAAAATCAAGTGGTTTCTTAAATGCTATTAAAATTTTAAAGGGCTCTAAAAAGCAAACCATCGTTTAAAAATCTAACATTCGCTTTCCTGCCACATCAGCAAACTTTTCTAATCAGTGTTTAAAACATAAGTTTGAGTTGGGAAAGACCACAAGGATTTTCCCTGTAATGTCATTTTCGAAAAGCTCAGTGACTTTGCATTGCTCTCAGTGTGGGTGTGTTGACACTGCATTTCTTTAGAACTGTTTCAGCGGCCACCCATTGTTCATTCCCCAGTGAGCTCATGTTAGAGTGATCTGGACTGGAACGTTCTTGGAGAGCTCCTACACATCTATTAGGCAAGCAGCACATCCTGAGGGACCCTCAGTTGCCAAACGCCACAGGAAATGCTCTGAGGAAATAGAACGTTTCTAGGAATGATGGCCCTGGTCTTGACAGAGCAGAGACGCAGCAGAAAAAGTGGATGAGGGAGCGACTCCACCATCTACCTATGTGTGAGTTTTAGAGACAATACAAGCATCCAGCTCGTGGGGTCGTTATGAGAACTAAATGAATTAATTCACATAAAGCGCTTGGAACGGGGCCTCACACTCAGGCAGTGCTCTGCATTATTAACAAATGAACAAGTCGGCGAAGACCACAAGCAAACTAACCAGAAACACAAAACTAATGCAAACTAATTGCAAATGCCGGGACTAAGTGTCTGAGTCTACATTCATAGATTTAGTGATCTCATGGTAGGGGCAGGTGGCTGATTCATGGTGGATGTAAATGTGTTGGACTATCTTCTACACAGTCCTAGAGGTTTTCCAGTAAAGATAAGTTGCCAGCTGTGTTTGAAAGGCTTGATGGGACAAGATCCAGCTGTTATGCAGATGATCTCCAGGGTGTAAAGTAAAGAGTTGATATTGTGAATTGGAAAAGAATAAGCACAGATGTGGAATGCTTATTCAAAAAGAAACAGGAGATATGGGAAAAGCCAACGTCATTCTTTGGGTGGTCCCACCACCATATGTCCTTGGTAGGCCATTTCCAGCTATCAGAGTAGAGTATCGACATCAACTTTTAAAAGAAAACCCTATTTCAAAACATTATTGAGCCTATCTTCACGTTACCCACTGTGAATAAACTGTCCAACCACAAATATTTAAAAACTTTGCTGCAGTTAGAATAGTCAAGCAAAAGAAAGGCAGAAATATTGTCTAGGAAGATCCATTTGGCATGCAGATGGGTGGCCTTGCCTCAATGGGACTACAGTGTTCCCTGACCTCATCCTCAGATACATACGCTGAGAGAATCAACTCTGTCACTGTGTCAAGAGGTGACGGACCCAAGAAGACTGACTCACATTAATCCAACTCATAAGAGAATGAGGTACAAAATCTAGAATGTCAATTTATAATTTATATTTACAATGAGAAGCTCACCTCCTGATCATGACTCGTGATTTTCCATCTGCTTGGAATCATTTCTTTACAACCCTCTTCTCCCTCCTTTGACTGGTCAAACTTAAGTCTCCATTTAGTCAACTCCTCCAGAAACCCTTCTCTAACCATCTGGGTCTGCATTAAGAGCCCTTCCTATATGTTCCCAGAGCTGTACTTTTCCCAGTTCTCCAGTTCTCTGGACACCCGGTGCCCTACAGGTCAAGTCACTTCTGACACTAACTACCCCGAGAGAGTCAGACTCCACAGGTTAAGGGCTAACTCACAAGACTGCCCCCCTTCAGAGACCAGTCCCGAGTCCCAGGTTGCCACCTGTACTTCTGACGGACTGGCTATAAATCAGGGGTCCCCATGGCCCCCTCCCCAGCTTCATTAATCCGCTGGAGAAGTTCACAGAACTCAAGAAAGTGCTTTACTTACTATGACAGGTTTGCTATGAAGAATTCAAACTCAAGAACAGCCAAATGGAAGAGATGCCTGCGGCAGGTGCCCTTTCCAGGTTCATCACCCTCCAGGACCTCAGTGTGGTCACCAACTCGGAAGCTCTGTAAACCCACTTGTTTGGGGGGTTTTATGGAGGTTTCATTAAGGAGGCATGATTGATTATATCATTGGCCATTAGTAATTAATCTCCAGCTCCTCTCCCCTCCTTAGAGGTCGGAGGTTGGGGCTGAAAGTTCCAACAGTCTAAAAACACCCTCGGTTTTTCTATCCAGCAGCCCCTGTCTGAGGTTGGCTAGGGGCCACCTGCCACAGTCATCTCATTAGCATACAAAAGACACTCACCGCTCCGGAGATTCCAAAGCTTTTAGAAGCTGTGTCAGGAACCAATTTTTTTTTTATTTATTGCAATTTATTTATATTTCTATTTCACCTATATACACTACAATAACATTTAATAAGTGAAACTTTAATCGCTTATTTACTTATCTCTATCCCCCAGGAACAGATAAGGAGAACACAGCTATTGTTCTCACCTTCGCATCCGAATACCTATCTAGCACCAGCCCTGCTCCAAGTCCGGCTCCACAACTAGGGCGTTTTTGAATTCTGAGCAAAACTACCTGGAAAATCAAACTGTAATGAAAAGCTTACTTGTTGAGCCTAGACTCAGAGCTAAATGACTCAGCTGCATGACATTGCTGACCAGGATCCCATGGCCAGATGCATCAATTTCCACTACAAAGGGATGTCTGACACAGGCTGGAAACCTCTGGTTTCAGATCAGGTAACCTCACCTCGGAGTCCCTGAGATGGCATCAAAGGATTCTCCCCTTCGACTCCCTGTTGTGACTGCGTGGTGCTCCTCCTCCCACTGCCCCAGGTGACCTCACCTGCACACTGCGTGTCCTCAGAATTCTCCAACTGCACAAGCAAAGGCAAACTCTGCCGTTTTCTTCTCCAGATCACTTGTTTCATGCACGATTCTTGGATTCTTAATTTCAAACTCAGAGTGACTTCAATGGCATTTTTGAGGGATCCTATTTAGCACCAAATCTCCACTCAGTATTTTTTCTCTGTAGAGTTTTCCTTTTTATTCCAGAACAATTATTCCATTATTACATGCTCATTACAGAAAGTAAAAAAGGCAAAAAGAAAAATAAAAACCACCATCTAGAAATAATTATTTTGCATCTTAATCATTTCCTCTTAAAAATGTATGACAAGCATCTCTCCATGTCAGTAGAGTTCTAAAATGACAATTTTTCAGGGCCACACCGTGATCTGTCATTTGCTAATTAAGTTAAGAAGTGTTTCTTTTAAAGTTCCAGATCTAATTCAAAAGTGTGTTTTTCATGTAGCCATTAAACAGTTTGGACATGAAAAGTATCCTACAACATAAAAAAATGTTTACAATATAATGGTAAGTAAAAAGGAGTTTACCAAAATTGTATGTACTGTAATTGCAATTATTTGAGAAAATAAATTCTGAGAAAAAATGATGGAAGAACATCCATTAAAATGCAGTTTGCTCTGGTGATAAAATTTTATGTGAATTTTTATCGTCTCTACTCTCCGTATTTTTTGGCAATGTGAAAGTATCACTTTATAATGAAAAAAATATTTCTTTAAAATTCCCCATGACAATTTAAGCTGTCCATATTGCAGGCAGCTGAGGAGTGAAGATTTTCCAGTCAATAATTCTGTTCTTGAATTACCTGAACTTTAGTAAAATGATAGCAAAACATAACAAACACACTCTACTGGTTCTTTCAAAGGAATTTTGCCAAATGAATTTGGAAGAGGTGGGATGGGAGGAAAAGAGTTGGCTGAATCTCTGGGAAGATGCTATTCTACCTCCAGCCCCAGCATGAACAGACATTTCTGTGTTTCCCATGAGCACCTGCTCCACCTGTGGTGGGATGACCAAGCTTCCTGCTTTGCCCAGGACTGAGAATTTTCTTGGCATGTGGAAAGACTCTTGTTCCATAAGAGTGCAAGGAAATAGAAGGTTAACAGGCCAATTTAAGTAGCCACTTCTATCTTATTAATAGGAAAGAAAAAGATTTTTTTTTGCTGAGGAAGACTGGCCCTGAGCTAACATCTGTGCCCATCTTCCTCTACTTTGTATGTGGGACGCCTGCCACAGCATGGCTTGATGAGTCATGCCATGTCCACACCGGGGACCCCACCCACGGATCCCGGGCCGCCAAAGCAGAATGTGCACACTTAACCACTGTGCCACTAGGCCAGCCCCAGAAAAAGATTTTTATGTTTCTGATTTCTCCCTCCAAAAGCATGTTTCCCAATGCAAACTTGATCAATTTCAGGAAATTCTAATATTCCAACTGCAACTAATGACATATATGAGAAAGATGTGAACAAAACTCAAATCAGTGCAAAGGGTGATGACCCTGTTTTGTTCATAAGCAATGGGAAATATATACCTCCATCTCCCTTTTGTGAAGTATATCGAGTAAATTGAATAAAGTCATTTTAAATTAAAAAAAAAAAGTTTGGGGCCTGCCCAGTGGCATAGTGCTTAAGTTCAGTGTTCCACTTTGCCAGCCCAGGGTTTGCGGGTTCAGATCCCAGGCACGGACCTACACACTGCTCATTGGGCCATGCTGTGGAGGCATTCCATATACAAAATAGAGGAAGATTGGCACAGATGTTAGCTCAGGGACAATCTTCCTCACCAAAAAAAAAAAAAAAAATGGTTGAAAACTGAGACATTCTTGGGCAAAGAGGGACAAGTTGGCCACCCCACCTGTGGACCACACTTTGAGTAACCAGGCCCCAAGCAGCCCTACACAATGATAGGCCCTCCTGCAGGCCTATGACTTTTGGCTAATGTCAACTCCCTGATACACTCGTGTTCATTCTTTTGCAGCCCGCCCCTGTGAAAATTCCCCTGATCCTCCCTCAAGCCAAACTAATCAAGAGGCCAACATCTTCCATACTAAT